TATCCCAGTTGGTATGTAATATAAATGTCACTTCTTTTAGGGAGGAGTAGTTGCAGATCTAATGCTGTCCAATGCAAGTACTAATGCTTGTACTGATGTTGATAGCTATAGAAAAGAAATGAAGGCATTGGTGACTTCTGCAACAGAACAACTTAACCTATCAACAGTCAGTCAGTTTTTGCATTGACATGCTGTATATGTATTAGTTCATTGTGTTGTCAAACAGGTTAAAGCTGGTCCTTTATTATCAAACTTATGTAAAGTACTCATAAAACATAAAGTAAGTGCACTAGGTACATGTAGGATGATCTAATTGTTTGTTTGTATATTCTGTTACTTCAAAGTTTGAGTTCAACATTTGTTTTTGAATAGACCAATTTTTGAGCCTATTTTTTCTAAAAATTAGTTCCCAAAAACCCTTTTTAGTCCATTTAAAATTATGCTAGAAAAAGTTTTAACTAATGCCATGCTCTTTTTTGGCCTTGAATAATAAACTTAATTTTTACAAAATTTTCTCAATTATTTAGGTAAAATTGGAATCAAATTTTGCGTCAGTGATGTTAGCAGTGATGGTAGTTGAGGGTCTTGGACGATCCCTTGATCCTCAGTTAGATATACTGGCAGCTGCTACACCATTCCTTTTAAGGAAAGCCGCCAAAGACTCACTGAAGACTCTCATGAACAAAGAAAAGGACAAGTACAATTAAAGTAGGTATCACTGTATTGTTAATATCTGACACTTAATAATCAATCAATTAAAATAAAAGTAACAATATAAATAAAAACATAAAGATTGAGAATTATCACCTTTTCATTTTTGGCAAAATTTGACCAAACCCCCTGTACTATAGTACAGGGACTTTTCCCCAATTTTTGAGAAACTAAAAAAATTTGTAAAAAATCCAATTTTGATTGGAATCAGTTCAAACTTTCTATGCAACATAAGTACATGTATATGTATCAGAAAATGTAATAAAAATGGAGAATTCTCACCTTTCCATTTTTGGCAAAATTCAGCCAGAGACCCTGTACTATAGTACAGGGACTTTTGTCCAATTTTTGAGCTACTTTAAAAATTTGTAAAAAATCCAATTTTGATTGGAATTGGTTCAAACTTTCTACGCAACATAAGTACATGTATATGCATCAAAAAATGTAATTAAAATGGAAAATTCTCACCTTTCCATTTTTGGCAAAATTTGACCGAACCCCTGTACTATAGTACAGGGACTTTTGCCCAATTTTTAAGAAACTTAAAAAATTCATAAAAAATCCAATTTTAATCGGAATCAGCTCAAACTTTCTACACAACATAAGTACACGTATATGCATCAGAAAATGTAATGAAAATGGAGAATTCTCACCTTTTCATTTTTGGAGAAATTTGGCTTGAGATTTTTTATCAAATTGTCAATGATGTATCATTGACCATTTCTCATTATCTATTATCATAGGTTGTGTGTATTCAAGTATCTTTCATTTATAATTACTAAAGATAGACTGTTAATTTATGATCTAAAGACTCAAACTCTATAAGACCGATTTGTTTTTATTCTGTGATGAGTTGTTTGTGTGTGTATCTGTACCCCTGAAGTGTCTCTAATATATTTATTGTTATTGTTCATCCATTATTTACTCTCATTTCAGTTTATCTGTACATAATTCATGGAGACCTGCTTTTGCATTAATGGCTGCCGTAATAATTTTAATCAAAATTTATAATAATTAATGATAAAAAAGAAAAATTGCATACATTACGGAACAAAAATATCAGTAAAAATATTATAAAATCTTAGCAATAAATGATAGTTTTTGGATCTTCTTAATAATGTACATTTTTTGTCCAAGTTTTTTTTATAATTCATACTGTACTGTTTGTGGAGACAGCAATCAGATACGGGTAGTCTAGATAATAATAATAATAATAATAATAATAATAATAAATATTGTAATACAGCTAAAAAGTTATAATTATTCGGATTCAAGTTATAGAGCTATGTATTGGATTTTATGATGACAAGTTCTCACCAATATTAATTCACCGCCACTAGACTAGTTTACAACAGTATAATAATGACATAATGATTATTATTTATTGCTACATACAATGTTATTTTTTGTATATTTTCTTCCTTTCAGTATTCTTAATATCAATATACCAATAGAATTGTGCTAAAGATTACAATGGTGCCTGGTAGACTGGTGGGATAATTGATGTTTGCCATCAATCTCATGATCCAACAGAAGCTGGTCTCTTGTAGAGAATTATATGGTATGATTGGCAATAAGAACACTACAGTCTTAAGTTTAAAAAGATGAAAACTGGTCATAACTGATATTAATAATAATAACTGTGTGTGTTATGATGCTGAAACTA